CTACTACTACTACTGCTGCTGCTGCAACAACTACTACAAATACTCCTCCTCCTCCTCCTACTACTACTACTACTACTACTCCTACTACTACTACTACTACCACCACCACCACCACTACCACTGCTAATACTGCTACTACTGCTACTACTGCTACTACTACCACTACCACTACTCCTACTCCTACTCCTACTCCTACTCCTACTCCTACTCCTACTCCTCCTCCTACTCCTCCTCCTCCTCCTCCTACTACTACTACGACGACGACTACGACTCTACGACGACGATGACGGGTAGGGCTTTTGTCACACCCTGAAAAGGCTCCTCATGCTCATTCCCGCTTTTATTTCGCGGCCTGTTGAGTTCCTCAGGGTTGGGGGGTTTAGAGTCTAACGAACAAAAGAATCTTTAAGCGAGCAAAAAACTACCTAACCGGCCATACAAGGTTTTTTTCCACGCCCTGGGTTCTAACGCATAAGGCCGAAGGAACAACAGAATGAAGAGACATAAGACAGAGAGACAAAGAGACGGAGAGACAGAAAGACAGAGACGCACAGTAAGGGGAAAGAAAGAGAGGGTGACAAAGGGACAGCGAGAGAGAGCGGGACGGAGGGAGAGAGAGAGAGAGAAAGAGAAAGAGACAAAACGAGAGACGGAGGGAAACCAAGAGGGATGGGGAAAAGCAGAGGTGAGAGAAACAAGGCAAAGAGGAAGAGAGAAACGTGCCAGAGGGACAGAGAGACAGGGAGAGAAGAAGAAAGGGAAGAGGGCAGGGAAGCAAAGAAGAAAGCATCAAAAGGGCAGGGTCAAGGAGCGAAGGGCAGCGGAAAGGAGTGGAAGGGCCAGGAAGGGAATGTAAAAGAAAAGGCGAGTTAGGGGAGAGGAGGGGATGAGAGACGCGGAAAGAGAGGAAACGGAGAAGGAGGAGAGTAAAAAACGTGAGCGCGAAGGGTCAGTCTGCCTAAAGCCACCGAGCCGGCCTCCAAAGGGCGGGAAGCTAAGGAGCCTCTGGGCAGAAGGCCCAGGAGAGAACAAGGAGCAAGCCGCTTGAAAGAAACTAGAGAACAAAGAGCAAACCAAGCGCAAGACACTAGAGAATTTGATTAAACGAGCAAACTGCTGGAAAAAGACTAGAACACTGGAGAACACAAGAAGCAAAGCGCTAAGGAGACTAGCGAATTTGAGCAAACCGCTCGAAAAAACACTAGGAAATTTGTGCAAAAGAAGCAAACCGCCAAAAAGAGGAGCAACCCGCTCGAAAGAGATTGCACAAATTGTGAACAAGGAGCTAACAGGTCGAAAGAGACTAGAAAAAATCAGAAAACGCAGACAAGCGCTCGAAAGATACTACAGTATAGAGATTGAGAACAGGAAGCACACCGCTCAAAAAGGACAAAAGAATTTACAAAAGGAGCAAAGCACTCGAAGGAAACGAGAGAAATTGAAAACAGGTAGCGAACCGCTCGAAAGAAACTAGAGAATTCGAGAAGAAGGAGCAAACCGCTCGAAAGAGACTAGCTAATTTGTGAACAAAGGGCAAATCAAGCGAACGAAACTAGATAATTTAAGAGAAACAGGAGCAAACTGCTCGTTTGACATTGGGAGCTTGAAAACAAGGAGAAAACTTAAAAAAATCAGAACAAGGAGCAAACCGCTCGAAAGAAACTAGACATTTTGAGACAAAGGAGGAAACCGCTCGAACAAGGCTAGAGACTTTGAGAACAAGGAGCAAACCGCTCAAAAGTGACAGAAACTGAAGCACACCGCGAAGGAGACTAGTGAATTTGAGAACAAACAGCAAACCAAGCGAAAGAGACCAGCGAAAGGGACAAGGGAATGTGAGACAAAGGAGCAAATCGCTCGAAGAAGACCAGAGAGTTTGAGAAGAAGGGGTAAACCGCTCGAAAAGGACTAGAGTGATTAGAGAATTTGAGAACACGGGAGCAAACCGCTCGAAACACCAGGGACTTTGTGAACAAGGAGCTGACCGCTCACAAAGGGCGATAGAATTTGAGAACAGGGGGCAAACCGCGCGAAGAAGACTCGAAGCTTTGAGAACAAGGAGCAAACCTCTCGAAAGAGACTTAGTGACTTAGTGAGTACAGAATTTAAGAACATGGAGCAAACCGCTCGCAAAAGACCAGAGAATGTGAGAAGACGAAGCAAACCGCTCGGAGAGCTTTAGGGACTCGAGAAAAGGAGTAAACCGCTCGAAAGAGACTAGGGAATTTCAGAACAAAGAGCAAACCAAGCGACAGAGATTTGGAATTTGAGAAAAAAAAAGCAATCCGCTCAAACAAAACTAAACAACTCAAAAACACAAGGCGCAAACCGCTCGAAAGAGACTGGAGAGCTTGAGAAAAAGGAGCAAACCGTTCGAACAAGACTAGAAAAATTGAGAACACAAGGCGCAAACCGCCCGCATGAGACAAGAGACTGTGAGAAGGGAGCAAACCGCCCCAAAGAGACTAGAACACTTTAGAGCAAGGAGCAAACCGCTCGCAAACCCTTCGAGAGAGGCTAAAGAATGTCAAAAGAGACTAAAGTACTAAAGAATTTGAAAACAAGGAGCAAACTGCTCGAGCGAAAGAGAGTAGAGAGCCCGCGAAGGGCAGGAAGCCCGCCGATGCGGGGAGGCGGCCCTCGCGGCATGCTCGCGAAGGACGGGACCCCGCGAAGCGCGGGGAGCCCGCCAAGGGAAGCCCGAGCGGCGTGACAGTGATGGAACCCTGCGAATTCGGGCGATAGCCCCGCGTCTGGATGGAGCCTTGTCAAGACGTCCTTAAGACCTTGTGTGGCCTGTCACGGTGTCTTCTGCCTTATTCGAGGCTTCATTTTTTGCCTCAGGGGCCATTTGAAGCCCCTCACGGGGCCCGATTAAACCCCGTTGTGAAAGACCTCTAGGTGGCAAGGACTATACAAGACAACCGTCGTTGGGTTAGGAGGGCTTTTATCTCAACATCTCGAGCCCGAGGAATCTCGATCCGGGCTGCAGAGGGGCCACTAAGGCCCTGTCCGGGAAGGCCTTTGTTGGTCATGGATACGTGGCGGGGTAGAAGAAGAACCCGTGCGCGGAAGAGAGGGCTGTTTTAGACCATGTCCACGTTGGTGGAGATACAATGCAAATGTGCCCCTGGACAGGACGGAGGGCTTTCTTCGGACTCTGTCTGTACATGCTCGAGAAGCTGTTGAGCGCCGGGCCTGCCCAGGAGCCTTTCCGACAGTACCACCAAAAAAACCTTATGGGGATAAGAATATACCAGCCCCGACGATGACGGCTTCCACCGCACAATGTCCCCCCTTGGCAAGGTGACCATGACACAGACGAGAACGAGGACCGACTCGAGGTAGCGTCTTGGGCAAATCAGGGCTGACATCCGTCCTTTTCGACAGCCGAGAGAGGCAGGCATAAAAGCGCCCACACACACCCACACACAAAAACAAACACACACACACACCCACCACACACTCACGCACAAAAAAAGGCATGCACAGACAGACAGACAGACAGACAGACAGACAGACAGACATACAGTATAGCTTCCTCAAATATTATAACATGCAAGCAACAAGTCTCTGGCAAGTTCTTGTCTGATGTTTTAGGGTTGCCAACTCAGTGCCACTGGAATCCAGGGTCTTCATGAAGTTCAACAGACTGAAACCGCGATGCTGTGCTAGTGGCATTACTTGAAAAATATAGGACATCCAACTTTTGCAGCGCACCTGCTTGCTTGCTTGCTTACGAGTCACACGCTCCATCGCTGCCCGCAGGCACTCGCGCAAGTTGGCGCTGGTTCGGCGCTCCTCGTCCATGATGCCCATCCTCTGCTGTGGACTTCTCAAGAATTCGGACATTGGCCTGTTGAAGGTGGTGCTGTGTTCTGTTCGCTGTACTGTTTGAGCATGGAAGAAAAGCGCGTGAAAGGATCTGAGCAGAAGCAGACACCTAGCAGGAGTCTACAGGCAATCAATCGGAACCGTAGCTTTTCAAGACAACGGCCCTCCTACGTCAGCAAGCCCGGGCAACCAGTGACCAGCAGCCCAAACCTAAACAAGGAGCTTGATGGTGTTGCGGCGCAGACCGAAGAATTCCTCCGCTCGGCCGAACAGCCGGCTTGTCAGCGCAATCTCCTAGGAGTGATTTCAAGGGTGTCCATCTTCCTGGCTCGGGAACTTCGGTTGCGAGACTTGACATATGTTGCAGTTTCTGGTGTCTTCATGTTCTTGGCCTTCGATACCATGTCGCTAGTCCGAAGTCTGCGGAAAACAAAATGCAATCCCTACAGCCCTACAGTGCCCCACTGCAGCTAGATTGAATCACCAATATGTCCCCGGCTGCTGCCATGCCACCTCTGGGCCATGCTGCTTAGGCTTCACGATGTAAACTGAGCCTGCCAGACCCGACTTGAGGCGCCACGCAGAATTGTTTTTGTACACACTACCGTAGCCGGCTCAGCATGGCTCAGCGCGGCAAAGGAAATTTCGGGGGCTTCACCTGACTTCCCGAAACAAGCGGGACTTCAAGGGCCCAAGCCAACAGTTGCCCTCCACTTCGAATTCTGTTTGCGCACTGTTCACCCAGATGGTATTAATGCACTTCTTACAACACAGCAAAAATTCTACTACACTCATAGACTCATCGAAGTCATGGGGATTTGTCAGGATTGAGCATCCGCAGTTAGCACATGGCTATAAAGAGTACGAGCGAGATTTACGATGCCCGCCTTCGCGGCTGTTCATAAGACGCGAGGTGCCACGCAAATCGTGGAGGGCGCTCGCTGTGGTGACCAAGCAATCCAAAAAACCTGCATCTCAAAGATGCCAGCCAGGCACTGCTGGGTGACAGATCAGACTAGGACGAACGGACACGCTCCACCCCGGCAACTTCAGTGCCTATCTTCGACCTTAAGGAGCAAGTGCCCACCTTCCGGGACGAACTTGCCATCCGACGTCAGCACCGCATCTGTGAACCTGGCTCCAGGGGCATCCACTTGCACAGGACTGACTCTTCGGGCATATTCCTCATCATCAAGCAGCCGACCAAGTTAGCCCGAATCGCGGCGATTTGAGCTGCACGAAATTGCTTCACCCCAGCAGCAAACATCTCAACCTGCGTCTGGGCACATGTGGTGGCCAACGTTTCGCACGAGAGCTAAAGCTCTGCCAGGGATGGTGCAAACCTGGACAGGCGATCTGCAACGGGGCCTCTCTGTAAAAGTGACTTCCCATTCTCTGAGACTATGAGGCAGGTATCCTGAACTACAACGCCTGTCCCACCAACAGCCTGCAAGCCTACAAAAGACTTGAACGCCGAGAGCCTTCGACATTGAACAGAACAGCCTCGAGCTACACACCACTCCAAACAACATTTGCGTGGCATCAGCAGCTACTTCTGCATCGAAGGATCGGTGGCTGATTGCGACGGATTTCTGCAAACAAACCATTCGCGGTTTCCGGAAGATAGTGCTCCATTCCCCCCAGCCCCCAGCTGGAAACTGAAAATCTTGGTGATAAACAGGACTCGCATGCTGAAATTCTTCTGTGTCCCTAGTGTTGCCCCTCGCACTGACTTGCTGAACAGGTCTGGCAGCATTGCCCTTTGCATCTCGGAACCTGAGCACACACATTGTCGACGCAATCAACTCACTAACTACGTAGCCTGCCAGGTTGAACAGGCGACCACTCCGTCACAGAGCTTGGGGCTGGGGCACCGGATCGGATTGTGTCATGTGCGGCCAAGGTGCCAAACATCGTAGTTCATCTTTCTCGTCAAGGCTTTACCGTCCTCTTTTTCAAAAGCAAACTCAAGGATCCCGGACGCTTAAGGAAGCGGGGACCAACACGTGATACCGAGGTGTCCTTGACGAAAGGGGCCTCCAGCGCACCACGGAAAATGCCGCAAATGTTGCCTGAGGCTGCGCGTAGAGTTGTGCGGGCTCGGATTTCTCCCAGGCTCTTCTGAAATTATAAATAAACGCACATGGATTTCATGCTTTGAAACAAAAAAAACATGACAACAAACGCGCCTGCGGACTCGCAGTGCCTCTTGCGAAGACTTGACAGAACCAACACTGCAAGCATCACCCTACACCTCATTTTCTCAAGGCCGTTCATGGACTTCCCATCTTTCAATCTTTCACTTCACTGTTTCTTCGTCCCGCGATGGTCGCATCTGCACTAGACGGATCTGGACAGCCCATCACGACCCCAGCAAGGAAGGAATTGAGTTTTGTTGGGGTCAGGCGAGCTCAAAGTTGAGCCTTCATGATTGACAAGTCTACACAGATTTCTTTACCTGATGGCTTTCGTCTTGGGGCCTTCAAAATTTCACAGGCATTTCGGAAGCTGACAGGTTTTTGCACAAGAGCCTGGAGGTGTCGACGACCATCGCACTCCGCACAGCAGGAAAAAGCACAACGACAGGCCTCTTCGTTGAAACTGTCCTGAGGAAAACCGATCCGAAAGAATTTCCCGGGTTCGTGGGAAATGTGTCCTTGCTTCTTGTGTGCAGAAAACCATGCTTATAGCCAATAAGACAACCCTGCTTGGAAGGTCACACCAACTCCCTTCTGAGCCCGAAGAGAAGCTGAGACTGGGCCGAGAGTACCATTGCGGCTGTGTTGGAAAACATCGTTTTATGTTGCTTTAACGTAGGGGCGCAACGGAAACGGAGCTCTGCGTGCATGCATGCGTGCGTGCGTGCGTGTGTGCATGAGCGCACACGTCCCAGGTTTTAAAGGCAGGGATTACGTGATTGGTGCCCGAAGTGGTACCGCCAGCTCCGAATAACATGTCAGCTCTGATGGTGCCGGCATCCGATTACATCAGTCGCGATGTTTTCTTCGTTTCTGTTTCTGACTTCATGTCAGTTTTTGATGCCAGGTTTCATTGCAGGTCCTGACTTTAATCAGATCCGATGGAACCACCGGCTTTGCTATCCGCAGACCACGTTTTCAGCTCCGAGACATCATTCCCTTTTGTCTGCCTTGAGAATCATGACGTGGAACCGTGACCGCGATTGGTCCCACTCCTCGTGGAAGACTTCCCCTTCATGGGACAGGAACACATCGTCGGGTTGGAACAACC